GATTCTCCTGCTTCAGCCTCCAGAGTGGCTGGGGTTACAGGCACCTGACATCATGCCCGTCTAATTTTTCTAGTTTTGGAGAGGCAGGGTTTCACCATATGGGCCAGGCTGATCTTGATCTTCAGGCCTCAGATAATACACCTGCCTCAGCAACCCAAAGTGCTGGGATTACAGGCATGAGCCACCACGCCCGGCCCATTTTGTGCAAATTTATAGCACATTTTCATTTCTAGAGGGGCAAGATTTTCTACTCCATTACAAGTTTTTAAAATGTCATCACAATAGTAAAAGACAGCATGTGCAATTTAAAAAATGTCAAAACATTGATAACTTTGTTTTGTGTAAAAGTGATGAAAATCTCACACCTTGAGAAAAACAGAAATCATCTTCCCACCTCAAAGTTTCCTTCTAAGGTCCCTCAGCAAAGAACATCTTTACATAGACATTTATTGATATCAAAATGGATATTGGACTTTATCCAAAGAATTTTTTGCCAAGAAGTTCATATATTATCGGAATTATTTCATTATGCACTCTTCCGTAAGGTATCTAACATTATCTTTTAAAACCTGTACGTTAAAAGTAAAACACTGTGTGTACTTAATTTTGTGAGTTAAAACACTTTAAAACTCTCTAGACAGAGCTCTGTGATGGGAAGTGGGAGTGAAGGGAAAGCAGCTAAAGTTTGGGGCTGATTTTAAGGTGGCCTGGGCCCTCCGCCCTGCAGGGCGCCCTCATCCCCGGCCTGGGGGACCCCTGCCCAGGACGAAGGCCCAGACCCCAGGGCCCAGGACCGCCGTCCCCCACTCCTCCAGCTGCTCCCCTGGTCCCCAGGCCCCCAGCCCCGCACTCCGAAGGGGCGATCCTCCCACAGCCGCCACCTCCTCCTGCAGCTCGGGCTCAGGCAGGGCCTAGTACCTCTTCTTCGCGTCTCTTATGTTCAGGTCCATTGTCTTCTTCTTCTTCATCATCTTCTGCAGCTTCCGGTCTTGGCCTTGCCAGGCAGCTTTGTGGATCTTCTTGAGATCCCCATGGTGGATCGCATAAGAGTCGTTGCTGGTGTAGACCAGCTGACTGAAGGGGCTCGGACGCGGCGGGTCCAACACGCCCCCGACGGCGGCTGCCGGGAGCCCCTCCATGGCTGCGGCCGCCCGCTGGTGAGAGCCCGGCCTCCCGCTCGCCCTTCCCCAGCCCCAGCCGCTCGCCCTTCCCCAGCCCCAGCCGCTCGCCCTTCCCCAGCCCCAGCCGCTCGCCCTTCCCCAGCCCCAGCCGCTCGCCCTCGCCCTTCTCCAGTCCCCGCACCAAACCCAACACCAGTTAAAATCGCGGTGTGGCCAAGGCCTTGGACAGTCCGTCCTGTCAAGGAGCAGAGCCGTTAGGCAGCAGCGCATGCGCAGCGCCGCGGGCTGAGGAGACGCGCGAGGCGGGAAACCGCCCTGGCCGCTCCGAAGGGCACCGCGTGCAGGTGGCGCCTGCCGCTGAGGCGCTGCGGTGCTGGTGCTGGTGAGGCTCCCTGGAGCGGAACGTGGGGGACGCCCTGCCACACAGCGCGCTTCACAGAGCCGCCCCTGGCCCCTCCTCGACCCGCGATCCAGGAGCTGGGCCCCGGCGCTGGGCACCCTGCAGCCTCGGGGGTGGCGCTGAGCGTCGGTTCCCGCCCTCCTGCAGCTGACCCTCCCCCTGACCTAGGCGCCATGGAGGCTTCTGGCCCAAGGATCCGCGCTGTTGGTGGCGCCGGCATGGTCGGGGTTGTAGCCCGGGGGTCGCCATGTGGCGCACGCCCTCCCACCCTAGGCCAGGCTCTTCCTTGGCTCGCGCGCAGAGAGCTGGGCTCCGGGTGCAGACGGGGGCCGGACCGACTGACTGCAGCGCAGCAGCGGCGTCTCACCGCAGTCCATGTTGCGTAGGCCCAGAGGGGAAGCGGGAAGTTTGCGTTCCTCGGCCATATTTGCCTGTGTGCCAAGTGCTGGTAGCAGCTACAGCTCAGACAGGGGCACGGATGGCAGGTGCCGTTTGGAGGGTTTCAAGGTTGCTGTGGGTGCCCACTGCCAGACTTCAGGGTTCCTTCCTCCTTGACCTGCATCTGGAGAATGGCGGTGGCGCTGAGTAGTCTGCAGTCATCCTGGATGGGGCTGACCTGAAGTTCTCTCCCTTGGGCTGAGAGGTAGACTTAGCTGAGTAGAGCAGATGAGGAAACAGTTACATTGAAATCATCCTATTAAAAGACTTCCAGGCTGGGTGCAGTGCCTCATGCCTGTACTTCCAGCACTTTGGGAGACCGACATAGGAGGATCACTTGACCCCAGGAGCCTGAGACCAGCTTAGACAACAAAGGGGGAATTCATCTCTACAAAACAAAACAAATCAGCCAGGCTTGGTGGTGTATGCCTGCGGCCCCAGCTACTCCGGAGATTGATTGAGGGAGGATCACTTGGGCCTGGAAGTTCGTGGATACAGTGATCTGGGATTGTGCCACAAACAAGGAATGAGAGGCCCTGTTGCTCCACATCCTCGACAGCATTTGATGTTTTCCATCTTCTGAATTTGGGTTATTGTTTGGTTATTTGTGCCCCTGCACTCCAAGCCTGGGCAACAGAGACTGTCTCATAAATAAATAAATAAATACTTCTAGTCACTATATCATTATCTATGTGGAATTCTTTACACACCAAGCTTGCAGAGTTAAAACCCACAGTGCCCACTAATTATGTGATATGGACTATGTGATTAAAGTAGGTGACCATGTTCTTGCTTTTGGTCATCCCGCTAGATGTGCAGTGTTAGCTGCACATTACTGAATTTCCCTAAGGACATATGTAGAGCATCATTACATATGCTTATTTTTTATTATTTGTATATTTTATTTGGTGAAATGCCCATTACAGTCTTTAGTTCACTTTTTAATTGGGTTGTTTCTTCTTATTACGTTTTAAGACTACAGGTGTTGATCAACTTACAACCTATGCAACTTACGACCATTCGACTTTACGACCACAATCGCTAGCCACGACTGCTCCGCGTCTGGCAGTGCAAACGTTTCCCAGCTGGGCGTATGACAGTGCGGACCAGCTTCTGGCAGCACTACCATCTCCGCGTGCATATAGCCTACTCAACTTACGACCAAATCGTGTTACGACCGGTCTGTCTGAACCAATCGTGATTGTAAGTCGAGCACTGGCTGTATTGGTATATTCTGGATAAAATTTGTCATTCAAATATGTTTCTGCAAATATTTTTTTTCAGTCTGTGTCTTGTCTTCACTTTCAGTGGCTTTAACAGAACAAAATGTTACATTTTAATCAAGTGTAGCTTGTATTATTTCTTTTATGTGCTGTAACTTTGGTGTTTTGTTTTCTAGAGATAATCAAACCCAAGAGGGTCTAAATTTTCTCCTTTTATTTACCAGAAATTTTATAGTTTTCAATTTGACGTTTAGGCCTGTGATTTGTTTTGAGTTAATTTTGGTGAGAGGGTAAGATCTGACTCACTTTTTTTTTTTTTTAACGTAGATATTCAGTTGTTCCAGCAACACTTAATGAAGAACCCTATCTTTGTTTCATCATATTTCCTTTACTTTTACATCTAAGATTAATTAAATATATGGATGTATGTCTATTTCTCAACTCTCATTTCGTTATTCTGTCTATATGTACTCTTTCATCAATATGGCGCTACTTTGATGACCATAGCTTTAGAGTAAGTCTTGAAGTTGAGTAGTGCCTGTATTTCCTCCAATTTTGTTCTCCTTCAGTATTATGTTAGCTATTCAAGGTCTTTTTCTTCTCCATATAAACTATAGAATTAGTTTTTCTATATCCATAAAATAACTTGCTTCCATTTTTATTAGAATTGCATTGAATCTATACATTCAGAAGAACTGACATGCTGACAATGTTGAGTTTTTTAATTTATGAAGACAATATATCTTCTCCATTTGTTCAGTTCTTTTTTTTTATTTCTGTCATTAGGCATGGACAGATTTTGAAATTACATAACTCCCTCTACCTTGACCAAAGGACAGTGATGAATTTCTCATTCTGGAGCCAAAGTCACCTTTGAGGGCATGTGTCTGAACATAGACAAAAAGGTAAAAAAAATGATAAAGACATCCTGGGAAAATATGAAATTCAAGAATCAGCAGCAGTGTTTAAGTAACTAACTCTTTTTCTTTCCCCAGCTCTGCCTCTGGGGCTGCTTTCAGATGTGAGCCTCTTGACCTTAGCAAGAATGTTCTTCTTCATCCCTGCCATGGGGGAAAATTTTTCACAAACAATTTTAAAAATAATTTCAACTTTTATGTTAGATACAGATGCTGGGTGTGCAGATTCACATGTGTCTTTTTGGTAGAATGTTATATTTTCTTTTGGGTATATACTCAGTAATGTGATTGCTGGGTCAATTAGTAACTCTGTTGTACATTTTTGGAGAAATCTTTAAACTGCTTTCCACAGTGGCTGATCTAATTTACATTCCCAGTGACAGCGAAAAGGATTTTCCTTTTCTCTGCAGCCTCACCAGTATCTATTAACAAATAACCACTTTTATCCCAGGCATACATCATCTGTTCATTTTGACTTTAGCACGTCCTCTGAAGAAGATAGTATTTTTCACAGCCAAAGATGATTCATCTTTCCAAACATGTTCTGTTTGTTTGTTTTTCTGAAGGCATGTGGTACTTTCTGTCTGCATCAGTTTGGGGTATAGATTAAGAGCATGGTACCTTAAAGTGACCCATGTCCGTGTCCCCATGCAGGGTTCTATCCCAGAACTCTTCACAAGCTTTTATTCCCTGTGGGCCCTGTGTGGAGAGGAGCCCCCCAGATAATTCTTTAGTTGGTCATTCCACCAGGCAAGTGACCAACTAAAGAATTATCACAATCACATGTGACTGTTCTCAGGGTTCCCAAAGAAACTGGGACAATTGCAGGTAATAGAGCTTTATTAATGGCAGTAACATCTCAGCTCAGCAGGAAATTTACTGTGGACTCTGAGAACAGGTTACAATGAATACTGAGGCAGAAAAAATCACATGAATCAGACATTAGCCCAAAATGCTCTTGCTCAAATGTTAAATGTGCTTCCTGCACATGTGGCAATACCAGACTTGCAGAAAGCACACATGGTAAGTGACAGACTGCTGCCTGTCTGTGAGCTTCAGTGCCCAATGAGACACACCAAACTCTCACCTCTTCTATCTACACTCCTGCTTTTATTGCACAGTACATTTTAATATGTGTTTTATTCCATTTTTGAACATTTTATTCCATTGGCCTTTCAGTCTAATGAAGAAACAACACAACCCAATTTTAATTTCCAAGTCTGTACACTATTTTAAAGGGGAAATCACTCTTTTTTAATTTTCAGACTTTTCACGGATATTTTATTTTCTCTCCTTTACAATAAAGTTTCTATATCCAGAACACAGAGGGTATCTATATCGGAGTTAAAATCAACTTTTAAAATTTTCTTTATATTTTTTATTTTTATTTTAATCACAGGGGTACATATGCAGGATGTGCAGGTTTGTTATATAGGTAAATGCCTGCTGGTGTGTGGGGGGGTGTGGTACAGATTATTTCATCATCCAGATATTAAGCCTAGTGTCCATTAGTTATTTTTCCTAATCATCTCTCTTCTCCCACCTTCCACCCCTCGAAAGGCCCCAGTGTGTTGTGTCCCTCTATGTGTCCATGTGTTATCATCATTTAGCTCCCACTTATAAGTAAGAACAGGTCATATTTGGTCTTCTGTTTCTGCATTTCTTTGCTAAGAATAATAGTCTCCACCTGCATCCATGTCCCTGCTAAGGTACATATGAACCTTGGAATACTATGAAACCATAAAATCAACTTATAAATTAAAGTACCTTTGATGTCCTAGTAATGTTGACCCTGTCTAATCCTATAATGTTATAATTTTTCTTTGATATGAATCTATTTTAAGTTTTTAAGAAATATTTTCAACCAATTCCATACTAATTGAATTAAAGTAATTTTCTTTAAAATTTTGGCATTATCTGTTTTTCATCTATGAACAAGAACATAAGGCATTCTCATTAATTCAATTAATGTAATTTATTGTGTTAATGAATTTCCTAATACAATGAGTCTCACTTGCATTTCTGGCATAAATGGACTTCCT